TGACGGGGCTAGCTTAGGTGTTGCGTGGGGGATGCATGTTGCACACGTGTCAGTTTGTGGCAAAGACAGTGCAGCCCTTTCGTCATTTCCTCAGAAATTTTGACATTTTTTAACGTTTTTGAAGGAGTACGATCGACGTCACGCGCTTCTCCCCTTCACGTCACTAACACGCCACCTACGATACCTAAAATATACTTGCAGTAAGAAGAAGTAAAATTATAAAAGTGGTGTTTTAGAGATAATTTGTTATATTATTTTTATATAATTTTTATGTGTTTTTGAATAAGTGAATTTATTTAATATTATAAATTTTATATAAATTAAAAAATTAATTATTTAAATAATATGTTAAATTATATAAAAAATGAGATAAAAAAATTATATAAAAAAATAAAATAAAAAAATTATATAAAAAATAAATAAAATATTATATAAAAGTCATTTCTTAATTCTAAATGGAGGTGGCGACAAAATATTAAATGCCAAAAATCCGGCGGATGTGGGTCCCACAACGAAATCAAAGCGCCAGCAACGAGGGAGCGTGAATAGTGGGATGGGACCATGGGACTATGGGACTATTGGAGGGGGGGAGGCAGTCAACCTCAGCGCCAGAGGTAGAAGAAAATCTGCTCCGTAAGGAAAACCAAATGAAAGCTGTCTAACCAACACTACCCGCCAGCCCACCATTGTCTTATTCTTTGGGAAACTTCCTTTTTTTTCTTTTGTGTTCTTCACATAATCATCTGATCGAAAGGGAACCAATTGGGGAACAAGAGAATTTGCTGATTTTGCAGTGAAGAAATGTTGGGTTCTTCTTCTTCTTCTTCTTCAGAGGGAGGAGGAGGAGGAGGAGGAGGAGGAAGGAATAACAGCCTGGACTACTCGTTTAAGATACTGTTGATTGGTGATTCTGGGGTTGGGAAGAGCACCATACTCCTCAGTTTCATCTCCAACACTGTTCATAATCTCTCTCCCACTATTGGTATTGTCATCTCTTCTCCAAAGCTGTGATTTTCAGCTGCAACTCATGTTTTTCTTACAGATTAAAACAAACATAACTTTTTTTGGTTTACTGGGTGTTCAATCACCTTCTGCATGGTCAATTGTTTATGTATGTTTAATTTGGGTGGAAAGAGAAGGAGTTTGAACTGATTATATATCTTTGATGCACGAACTTTTAAAATCACATGAAAGAGATTAAGAAAAAGAAAGAAAAGCTTGGAAACTGTGGTGGGATTGTTTGATTCTTTGATTCTGGAATAAATGTTGGATGCGCTTTTTGAATATATCCAGGTGTGGATTTCAAAATTAAGCAACTCACAATTGGTGGGAAGAGATTGAAGCTTACAATTTGGGACACAGGTATTGCCAACTCTTAGTGCAGAACTCAATTTTACAAATTGGTTGTTTAAAGATAGTTGAATTTTCCTGAAACACTTTTTATCATGTTGCAGCTGGTCAGGAAAGGTTTGGAACATTAACGAGTTCTTATTATAGAGGTGCACATGGAATTATCCTTGGTATGTTCTCACAAATTTGAAACTCTTGGTACTGCAGCTTTCGCCATTTATATGATTTACTCTGAGATTATATATCTGTTAAGAAATATCTGTTTAGTACATGTACATGTCAAGTTGAAGAAATTAATTAGTCCATGGCCCTATCATTATCTCATAGCCATGTTTATGACTCTGTCTAACAGGAAGCTTCATTTTCATAAGTACTGTACTTTAATCTTTTATTGAATGATCCTTCTGGTTTGAGATTGCTAAAGTTTGGATACAGAACTCCAACTAGGATTTGATGAAACTTCTATTACAGTTTATGATGTAACAAGACGAGAAACCTTTATGAACTTATCAGAGGTATGGGCAAAGGAGGTAGAGCTTTACTCTACTAATCAAGAGTGTATCAAGTTTCTAGTTGGAAATAAAGTTGACAGGGTAAGTTATATAATGGTAGTACTCTTTCCTATCTAGTCATGCAGAAACAAAAACATCTTTTATGGATGTGCATTTTGAGGTACCTTGTTCTTATAGCATATGTTCCATTCTCAGGAAAGTGAAAGGGTTGTTTCTAGAGAAGAAGGGATGGCACTTGCGCAGAAACATAAATGTTGTTTCCTTGAATGTAGTGCTAAAACTAGAGAAAATGTCCAGCAATGCTTTACAGATCTCACATTAAAGGTAACTCCTCCAAAATTCATGCATCTCTTTACTGTTTGAATCTTCTATATATGCTAATCTTTTCAGCATGTGGAATTGTCTCAAATGGAAGTGAAACGTGGCTGCTCTAAGCATTCCTTAGACATTTCTTATAATGAAACCTTTCTAATTGGTTTTATTGGATTATAGATCCTTGAGGTGCCTAGTTTACTGGAGAAAGGATCTATCGCAGTGAAGAAACAGAATTTGAAGCAGAAACAAGTATACCAGACACAAGGCGGCGAGGGTTGCTGCAACCAATGATGTTACTATACACGTTACTCTCTTTATCCAACACAAAAGTTCTCAAACCAGAATATGCTAGGTCCTGCTCAGACCATGGGAAGAGACAACCTTGCTGATTACATGCTCTGCATGTAAACTCCGTTAGAGGCTTAGAGCCGCTGTTGTGCTTCTTAATTTTGGAAATATGAGGAAGGGATAGGATTCTCTTTCAGTTCATCAAAGCTTCTGTTTTTATTTTTATTTTTTTTCCTTTTTAAGTTTGTTCAGATATTTTGTACTTGTATTCCGTGGTAGATTAGTCCATTAATTATAGACTTCTGTAAAGGGAATACATTATCCACGAACTCTAGATGACCATTATATCTGAATTGGTTTTACTGCTTGTTAAAAAAAAAAAAAAAATCCTTGGATAAACTTTTACTAGTATATATTTTTAGAAAATATAAATTGTAAAAAATTGTACTTGTAAGCAGAGAATCAGAATTCTTTTTTGATATAATCTACTCCAAGCTCAAACATTTAGAAATTCAAATTTCTGGTATTTAAATAAATAATGAAATTAAAAAAAAAATTGATTTTGTAATTCAAAAGCAAAATAGAATCCTAGAGATTTTATACCAAAAGATCATATCTAGTATCTCCGAAGATTCAGAAACGAAAGGATGGGGTCCGTGTTTTAGAAGACATTAAAGACATATTAGATTGAAATCATTGTTTGGTTAACTGAGAAAACGAAGCCAATAACATTGTTCACTGGATGATGGTAACTCTCCTCCTCTCTATTGTTATCATCCCTTGATACGTTTCTTACTCCCTTGCTGCTGGACCATCCAATGGCACTTCATGGCTTTCTCCCATGGCTGATCCTGCTAATCTCCATAGCTGATGCTGGTGATATTTTTCATGATTGGACAGTTACCCTTCAGCCTGGTCCGCTTAGCCAACAGGTCATCACCATCAATGGGATGTTTCCAGGACCCTTAATCAATGCCTCAACAAATGATATTATTCATGTCAATGTTTACAATAATATGGATGAACCTCTGCTATTTACATGGTAAAGACTTTCATTTTTTTTTGTTTGTTGTTTTCTGTTGTATTGATTAAAACTTGTAGTACTATGAATATTGGGGGTATGGTGGTGCAGGAATGGCATCCAACAGAGGCTGAATTCTTGGCAAGATGGGGTTTCAGGGACAAACTGCCCCATCCCACCAGGTCAGAACTGGACTTATGTGTTTCAGCTTAAAGACCAAATTGGCAGCTTCTTCTACTTCCCCAGCATCAATTTCCAAAAAGCGGGGGGAGGTTTTGGTCCCATCCGGATTAACAATCGAATGGTCGTCACAACACCATTCCCTAAACCCGAGGCCGAGTTCGATCTCCTCATAGGAGATTGGTATCAAAGAAGTTACAAGGTATGTATATTATACCATCCAGTGTTCCATTGAAAATATGTTGCAGATTTTAACATGAGGAAGCGATGAATATAACAGGAAATCAGGTCCATTCTCAACAATATTTCTGTTGCAACTAATGATCTAAAACCGGATACAATCCTTATGAATGGAGAAGTCTCGTCGTTTCTGTCACAAAACTATCAATACTTCAATGTCACTAAAGGTACAGAAACATCAAAATCATACTTCTGTTTATGTCACATGAGTTGGTTAATTAGGACAAAGTGAGGAGTTCGTGCTGTTCTTTTTCTTGTTGTGTAGGGATGACATATCGGTTTAGGATATCGAATGTTGGAACTACCTGGAGTTTTAACTTCAGGATTCAGAATCATCTGCTGGTGTTGATAGAAACGGAGGGATCATACCCCAATATGATAACATTGGATTCTCTGGATGTTCATGTTGGACAGTCCTACTCTGTTCTTGTCACGGTAGATCAAGAAGAGAAGGACTATTACATTGTGGCATCTCCTAAGATGGCCAATGCCACCCAGCTGGTTAATCTAACGGCTGTAGGGGTGCTTCACTATGGTAACTCCACTGTCCCAGCTTGCGGTCCTTTACCAGCTGGTCCTGATCCATTTGATCTACAGTTCTCCCTCCATCAAGCCAGATCAATCAAGTAAATCTTTCAGGATCTCAATCTGTCATTTTTTAAAGTCAAATTTAGGATTTTTATTAACTCGGATTGATTTTCTCTGTGAAGATGGAACTTAACTGCTGGGGCTGCTAGGCCTAACCCACAGGGTACATTCAACGTGCACAATGTGACCCTAACACAGACCTTCATCCTCCACGGATCATCCGCTGCTATCAACGGGACAGCTCGCTACACAGTCAACAATGTATCTTACGTTACACCGAACACTCCCCTGAAGATGGCTGATTACCGTGCCAATGGGTCTGGTGTTTACCAACTTGATCAGTTCCCAACCAATTACTCACTCACTCAGGCCGTAGATGGAGTTTTTGTTGCATCAGGGATCCATAAAGGGTGGATAGAAATTGTCTTCAAGAATGATTTACAAGTCATAGATTCTTGGCATCTGGATGGATTTGGTTTCTTTGTTGTGGGGTAAGCAAAACACTAACGGCATAGGTCCTAATATCTCAAGAAAAATGTGAGGCTTGATTTTCATTATATGCAGGTTTGGTGATGGAGAATGGACACCGGAATCACGTCAAAGTTACAATCTTTGGGATCCTGTAGTCCGGTCCACAACACAGGTGTACCCAGGAGGATGGACTGCAGTTTATGCATACCTAGACAACCCTGGAATGTGGAACTTGAGATCACAACGCCTCAAAAATTGGTACCTTGGTGAAGAATTCTATGTTAGGGTTTATGATCCTGACCCTAATCCTCTCAAGGAGTTTCGCCCACCTGAAAATCTCCTCTTTTGTGGTTAGTGTTTTAACCTCATTTGATTTTCTTTCAGAGTTGGGAGGAGAGCACCACTCTCTTCATGTATCTTGGACCATGAAATGCATTTTTTTTGTTTACAGGAATATTTGATCCTCCAGTCCCAGAACCAGCACCTTCCGTCGCAAAACCCCCTGCAACCCCAGCTGCAAACCCAGCTCCGTTGTCTGCACCACCGTCTCTTCCCAACGCCACAGCATCCCAACAAATACCATGGTGATAGAAATAATGAACTTTTATAGCGTTTGATGCATTGTTTAGTTATTATATATATTTTCTTCTTATTTTTGTTGTATATCTTTGCAGGTTGCATGTTATCCTGATTTCCATTGTTATACTTTTCTGCACCAGAGACCAGTAGCCTGTAATTCTCTGATTCAGAAATGTCCATTAAGATAGGATGCTGTGGGTATTACAAAGATGTGCCGTCAATTTGTTGTTTACTATTATTTAGGAATTTGGGAACCTAGGTGTTTGTGATTCGGTTCAAATATTAATATTTCGGAAATCAATTCAAATGGATTAGGTAGTAAAGTGCATCTTGCTTTCTTATAAGTCGTATTATAAATGCATTTTAATTTAAAGGTTGAGTTTTGAATATCTTATTTTAAAGTTATAATAAATATTTAAATTAATTTAATTTATTATTATATGATAATTAAATTAATTAAATTAAATTAGATTGGTGTGGTTTGATTAGATTAATTGATTTTTAATATTATTAAATATATGAGATAGTATAACAAAATCTTAACATTAAGTGAAAAATATAATTATAAAACACATTAACATCTAAATAAGTAGAAATATAATAAAAAGTACAAATTATAAACAAGTATTTATTCTCATTTACAATTGTAAAGATTAAAAAATTTGAAAATTCTTTTTAGCTATATCACCAGAAGTACCAGGAACAATAAAAGATAACTCCAATAACTTCAAATTTCAAGTGTAGTATAAATAATTTTTAAATGTTAAAATTAATTTTTTTGAAGCATTAATAATTCAATTTCATCTTCCAAACTATGTTAAAAGTAACATGAATATCTTTAGGATTTATTAGAAGCATTTATCATTAAGATTTAAAAATCTTCAACCAAACATCCAAAAATAGTAGAATATCAAGATTAATTTTATTATATAATTTTAAAACTTTTAGAATGATAATTCTTTAAAATTTAAAAGAATTAAAATATCATTTTGGAAACAAATTAAAAATTTAGAGTTTTAAGAGTAGAGTTGTAGATTAGCTCTAAATGGTAGAGTTGCATATTAGCTCTAAAAGGTAGAGTTGTCAGTGAATTAAAAATTTAAAATTAGAGTTAAAGTGAACAATTAAGAAGGAAAAATAAACTAAGAAATATAGAGATATTATATTTTTATATTAAAAATAAATGAAGTTATTATCTTGTAAAACAAGAAAAAGAATATTTAAAATATTACAAAAAAATATCTATTGTATTATTTAATTAAGTTATTTTATAATCATATTTTATTTTATAATCGGATACTTCAGATGATTTAAAAATAAAACTACAAATTAAACCAATTATTTTGATTTTAAAATTTTATAATTTAATGTAATTTAATTTTATATCAATTTAGTTTAATTTTTTTATTAAATTACATCAATTTAGATAAGATTAATAAAAGTGAATAAGATATGAACAACTTCTTGGAGCCATTTTGCCGTTGGCCTTGCACAATCAGCCCGATAAGAAAGCACATTTTTTTAATGAATAATCTGTTTTGACCCTCTATCTCTTCTATAATAATTATTTTTTTAAAAAAAATTAAATTAAAAATTTAGAAATTATTTATAAATTTATTTATATTAGTCTTATTAAAAAAATAAAATAAGACTTTTTTATAATAAGATAATTAATCAAAATAAATAAATAATAATAAGATTAAAGTAAAAAATATTTACCTAATTTAGAAAATAAAGAAATAACAATTAATTTTAGACAAACTTAAAATTAAAAAATAATTATTATTTTGAAAAAAAAAATTTACAATGCTGCAATTCTCTTTATTTTTTATTTTTTAATTCATCAGATGTTACATAGCCATTTTCTTTCTTTAATTCTGTTTTCATTTGTCTCAAAATTTGACTCAAAATATTCAATTTAAAGTTTAAAGTTCTTAATCACTCAATGCACTCCTGAGAGAATCAGTCTCTAATTGTTTATTATATAGATCTTTTTTTTTCTTTTTTTTTTGCCGCCAAACAATAAGAAAGCTTACAAGGTAAAAATAAGATAGGAAACTTAACAGAAAAATAAAACAAAAAGTGCATGGCATGTTGCTCCAAGAAAGAAGGGAAAAAGGATTAATGTCCCGGAAAATGTACATATCCCCCTTTAAAATTGTTGCATTAAAGTAAACTTCTATCAAAAAAAATATTGACATTATTTACCCTGTTAAATTTTTTATTTTTAAAAATTAATTCAAATTTAACAATTATCATTAATTTTAACTGAATTCAATAAAAATCATGAAATTTAAACTAATGTTTTAAAAATAAAAATTTTAAATAACAAATTACATTAATATTTATTTTAGTGATAATTTGTTTTACAAGCAACAATTTTAAGAAATAATTTACATATTTTACCTTAATATCGTGGATATCTATTTCTCAATCATTCTGAGGTCCCGCCTATATATCATTTTGAGGAGCCGGCAGCATAACATATTCCTATTCCTAAGCCTCTTCGTGCTATGCACAAAACAAATGACAGCGACACACAGTAATATTATTCTGTTAGACCGCCATGGAAAGACCTACCGGCGCTCAGATAAAAGCGGTCCGTCCACCCCTCCGGCTATTCCTGTCATATGCTGTGTTGAATTTATCAACAAGCTCGTTCATTGCACTGTTACAAGATTAAGAGGGAGGAAGCATATTAGAAAAAGGAATTAATCACTTCTACCGAACCCATAGATCAGATTGCCAAATTTAACTACAGAAAGTAAAGAGCATGCAGTGATAAATTGCTGCAGTTATGTTCTTACACGTGGAAATTAGGAAGCATATAGCTAATAGTAGCAGCATAAACAAATCTAACTAGTTTGTTCAAACCTAGCACAACCCTTGACATTGATAGAAGGCTAAGCCTAATTAGAACTTGAAGGATGGACTTTTTTCTCTTCTCCCAACTTTGCTGTTGGCTCCCATAATTAGAAGATTTGTCATCTTCCTCCTTTTTTTTTTTGGTGATATATTTAGGAAGAGAGGGGGTTGGACAAGTTGAACTTCGGACTAAAGACACAAGATATTTGAAAATTATATCAATCAAAAACATAGTAATGCAGAACACATTAACTAGAATAGCCAGACACCATACCTTGAGCAATTAGTGATCATGGCAAGGTAAGTAATCAACAATGTGTCATTGTACTCCTGTGTAACATATTTGAAGAAGAAGTTAGCCATGAAATCAAGGGATAGAGATAGAACTTAATAACAAGGCATAACCACCCTAAACAATTTTATTTTTTTTTACATGAAATCCTAAACATTGAATATATGAATGCAAAAAAGAGAAATTTTAGGAAAATAACAAAATATATGCAAGGCAACCCCAATTATGCCAATATTATTAAATGAAGGATGCCATATACTATTTTTTTGAAGCATAGGCATCTTATTAAGTGTCATTGAAAAATGCCTTCGCTAAACCATAACTACCAAATATAAAGCATGTAGTACTCGGTCATGCATCAACTGGATAATTATCATATAAGACCTATCATCCTCCTGACAAAAATCCCATGACTGTAACAGCCACCATCAAGTAGGAAACTTCATTGTGTCAACTGTTTTCCAACAACAATCCTTACTAAGATAACATCTACCTTTGTTATGGATTATCCATGAAGTAAACAAAAGAGAGAAAAGAATACTTGCCATCAAGAAATCATCTTGAAATTTTTCTGATTCAATGGCAGGCAACCTTCTAGCAAGACTTGACACTTGCCTTAACAGTGAGTTCTCAAAAGGAATATCACCTGAAAATAAAGATGTAAATGCAGTTAATTCATACCCTTAGCTTTTTAATCAATTAATCTCCAAACAAATAATAAATTGTTTCTTAGCGCTTCATCTTTAAAACAGATCAATACAACTCCCAATAAAAAGGGTAGATAAAAGATCATAAATTCAAACAAAAAGAGGCAATGATCTAGAGGGCCTTTAAGGTGCAATTTTTTCTTTTTCTAATTCTAACTCAGTGCTTCCAAACTGAAGTCAAGAATCAAATAAGAATTTGCAGCTTGCTATTATGGAACCATTTGAATAACTGAAGATATGTTATATTAATACATGCTTCTTTGGTTAGAAAAACACCCACTCCCCTATATAAGCATGTGACTAAATTCAAAGTCTCCATATTCTGAAGAAATGAGCATTTTATCAAAAAGAAGAAAAATGGGCATACCATTTTGCATTGCCACAAGATATTGGTGAAGCACCTTGATTCTGCTATGCAGCATCTTGATTGCACTATGAATTCCAGTGAGATGGGCAGCCACTGCACAGAAAAATTCAATTTCTTATTATGCTGGTAAGCAACATGAAAAGAAAAATATACAACTTGTAGAGCCTATAAATCATCCTTCTTGTTGAAAATTCTTGCAAGAAAGAGACATATGGAGGCTTACATTGTGTTGCTGCTGAGCCTCCATCCGACGGCTTAAGATGTGCAACATGATCAACTGAAATCCTTTCTGCTTCAACTGTCTA